CTTCAATGTAAACAATGACGTCACCGGTGGATTTTTCCACCGGTGATATTTGGCGCGCTGCAAGTGACAAAAGTCCTTTCCACAGAGGAAGTGAAGCGCGCCATAGAGAGGTCTGGAAAGGACTTTGGAAAGTCTAGCAACCAATCTCCTCCTGGTTGGTATACACCAGACAATGTTCGTCGATAAAATCACAAAATAGACATGACATGGTATATTTATTCTGTGATAAAATATTCTTTTGTGCCATGCCACCTGACATGGCGGCTGACATGCAAGTCAAGAATAAAGAAAATGTAAAAATCAGTCCAGTCCAACTGTCCAGTCCAGTCCAACTGTCCAGTCCAGTCCAACTGTCCAGTCCAGTCCAACTGTCCAGTCCAGTCCAACTGTCCAGTCCAGTTCAACTGTCCAGTCCAGTCCAACTGTCCAGTCCAGTCCAGTCCATGTTTTGTACTATGCCCAACTGTCCAGTCCAGTCCAACTGTCCAGTCCAGTCCAGTCCATGTTTTGTACTATGCCCAGTTGATTGGCATATGTTGTATCCATTTGAAATACAGTGCAATAAATAGCTGTTTTAAATATAGTACAAATAAACCACTCCCACAGCTGTTTCTACGGCAGAAATGTAATGTATCCGTCGTAGGAAAAGCAATGTTTTGATTGTACAGTTAAACTATACTTTTCTTTTCACAAAATGAGAAATACGCTAAAAAACTGTTAAAAAAGAAAGTCTGTTGTTGTTTTATCTTCGCGCGAAAACACACTTGCCCCAGATCACTGCCGCATAGCATGTCCTGCCACCTCCACAGGCCCTTATTTCGTCATGGGAAGGTCACGATCACGGGAGGACCCGCGGACTCTTGTGAAATGAATAAATGGCAAAGCGAAAGAAATTTTTAAACGAAACATTAAAAAAAATTAACGCAAATGTTTACTGTTTTTCATTTTTATTTTTCATTTTCGTTCGGCAATTTTAATTTACACTTATTATATACCGCTTATTTATATCCTGTTTAAATTGAGAATTATGCATAAATTTATTCGCTGACGTGACGCCGGAACCATTACAAGATTCCGCATGGCCTCGCCCGATTGTGTATGACCTTTCCATGACGCAACAAGGGTATGCGGAGGAGGCAGTCGCATATTACTGGTGTTGCAACTCCCTTTATATTATCCAAAGTTTTCCTGTATACTATATATAATTTTTGATGAGATTTGTGGATGGAAATTTTGAGTGGAATTTTTATGCATTTATTAGACCTAACCAGGAGCAGTTGCGAGGTTTTGCTTGTAATATGCACAACCTAACAATTATGGTTAGTTATATAGGCATGCAATATTAAAATTCTTTAGAGAGATATGACATTCTATATATTTCCGAGCTATGCAAGGCTCCTAAAACACAATCACCTACCCAGAGCAATCGTTGAGTGGCTCTGGCGACACGATATATTTTGCTTTATTTTGCCTGAAAATTTGCTTATTTCGACGATTTTTTGTTGCTTTTCGTCCGAAAAAGTGGTTAAGGGATTAAGGAATTGATTTATACATACTTGACTTCATTTGGGCAAAATAATAGGCTTCGTTATGGGAATAATTCATACTCTTGGTTCACTTTGAGTATTTATGGCATATGATGCCTTTGACCTATTATATTGGAGTGTTATTATTGAAAAGAAATTCAAGTGTACAAGACTTACAAGCGTACACGTATGCTGCGACTGTGTTTGTACAAGATTTTTTAAATGAACTGTACATGTATAAATATTCACGGTGTGAATGTAACAATTAAACAGCATTTGAATTCTTTTGCAACTTGTCAACTAGTTTTATAGAATTGCGTGGCGATATATGTTACTGTCTACAGCATTGCCTATACATGCACCATTACAACTCGGTCAGAAACATTGGTGTTAGTAGCCAAAAAAGGTTTTATTAGCTGTGTAAGGAGCTTTAGAAATTCGATAAAAATTCGAACACTCGAGCGAGTTTCACAATTCCATGCGCTAAATAAAATTTAGTTCCCCCCCCCCTGCACATATACGCTTGCTCGCTTCAGGCTCGCTCGCTCCGCAGCAATCACCACTGCTCTCGTTTAATAATTATGATGTCATGGGACCTCTGTGAAAACTTAATTATGTCATATAGTTCCCCTGGTAAAGTTTTACTCCGGGTCCTGCACAACCTCCCAGTGGTGCCACAAAATCAATTGCAAGTTCTAAAAAACCTTTATGATTTCAATAATGCGTCATTTTACACATCAACCTATCAAGTAATACAAGCATAAAAGTATAAATGATATTACACTTATTCAAACAGGACATTTTTATTATTAGTCAGGCCAGGTGTGATTATTGATTCTTTAACCTAACTATTTTTTATCACACAACTAATGAGCAATGCCACTTCTCCAACAATACTATTCCTTTCTTGAATTTTTCACTACATTAGACTCTTAATTATAATGTAACATGCCAAACTGCTCACTGTTCCAGAATAAAGAACTGTATAATTTTAACTTCAGACTGATTTTTTCATTGTTTCTGGAAGTATCGACATAATAAAAAGATTATCATATGTACAGTCCCAGGCATTATCTGAAAGAAATGTAAAACTAAAGTTATAAAATAGTTAACCATTAAACACAGACTGGTATAATGCTACAGGCTTTTGCTCAATTGCTACAACAGTACAGGCCTTCCTTATTGAGAAAAATATATTTATTGTATCATTGCCGTATAAAGAATAATATTTGGTCTTAAATTCCCTATGTATGATAGATTCATAATAAGTAATGTAGTACTAGCTATAGGTATGATCAGCTCACAGAATGCTACAGAATTTCTGAAAATCTATGAATTCGAACGTACGTTTTACTGAACTGTTGTTAAATGGCGTGGTTATGAAAATCTTCTCGGTATGACGTAGCCGCTAGTTTGAATAACAACGGCGTACTAGAATGTTCTACATTCTGATCCGTTTAGTTGTCCGAAGATTGTCTGTAAACTCAGGTATGAAACATTAATAAGTAACAACAATTAAATAAATTTAGCTGTACGTACAATAAAGTATTGAGCACTTTTAGAATTGAGCACTACCAGAATTACAATATATATATATATATATATATATATATATATATATATATATATATATATATATATATTTATATCTTAAAATTAATTATTGCTACTCAAGTTTCACGCCTTATTCAAGACGATCTTCAGGCAATTAATTCAGTTAGTGTTTGATTCGTCAATCAAACACTAACTGAATTAATTGCCTGAAGATCGTCTTGAATAAGGCGTGAAACTTGAGTAGCAATAATTAATTTTAAGATATAAATATATCTTGCTCTACTATAATACTAGTGTTGAGCACTTTATTATCTACTACA